TGGGGGGGGGGGGCGGCGTGGGGGGAGCCCCTCTGCTGCTGCGAGTACGTGGACCGGAGGGGCCGGAGGAACCACCTGGCGGCGTGCTGCTGCGACTGCGAGGACCTGGACGAGGGCTGCGAGAGGTAACGGCTCCGGCCCCCCCGCCTGCCCGGCCGCGAGACCCCCCCTCCCGGCGGCGGGGACGGGGGACGGGGGCGGCTGTGGGTGTCCGCCCCCCCTCGCCTCACGGGTGCCCCCCGCGGGGCTGCCGCCCTGAGGGGAGGGGAGCTGCGCGCCGGTTCTCGGGAAACTCGACGGCAGAGAGAGGGACGGGGGAAGGGAGGCGGGCGGGGGGGCCGCCCCGGTACCGGCCGCAGGAGCGGGACGAGGCAGGGGAAGGGCCTTGGGCTGCCCGCCTGCTAGCCGGGCGTCCGCGCTTTCCCCCCTAACAGGTGGCTGACGTGCAAATCCCTGGCCCCGGGAACTCTGGAAAGAATTGCGGACACCGTGGCGGACCGGGTGAGGGTCCCTTGGTTCGCGGGGGCCGTGAAGATCAACGTCAGCCTCGTGCCGCCTCTCGTCCTGCTGCCCGTCTTCCTCCACGTTGCCGCTCTGCACTTCCTGCTGGGTCTCCTCATCCTGACATCGCTGCCCGTGCTGGTGCTGTGGTATTACTACCTCACCCACAGGAGGAAGGAACGGACTCTCTTCTTCTTGAGCCTGGGGCTCTTCTCCTTGGGCTACATGTACTATGTCTTTCTCCAGGAGGTGGTTCCTCGAGGCCACGTGGGCTATTCCCAAGTGGTCGCCCTCACCTGCGGGTTAATTCTCATGCTTGCGGCCCTGTCTCGAGCCAAGAAAGACCCTGGCTACCTTCCCATCCCGGCAAGCAACGAGAAGTCATTGCACCAGGGTTTGCCCAACAAGAGTGTTAGAGGGAGCTCCAACGGGCTCCGTGGCGTCACCATGTCAGGAACTGCCAGCGGCCGTGCTGTGAACGGAGAGGCCAAAGGCTATTCCAGGATGTCAGCTGGGGAGCCAGAAGGTGTGAAAAAGGACTGGTGCGCTAAATGCCAGCTGGTCAGACCAGCCCGAGCAGGGCACTGCCGGCTTTGCGGCAGGTGTGTAAGGAGACTGGACCATCACTGTGTCTGGTAGGTTTTGCGCTGCTGAGGCTAATGTCTGTTCTCTCTGCCCCCACCCTGCCCCTTTTTAAGTGAGCTTCTTTTTTTACAGACTCTGTCAAATGGGGTTGCTTTTGTTATGTGCAAGACCTGGTGGCTTTCTTTAAAACAGTAAATTTGTACTTGCCGTTGTAAAGAACAATTTAAACTTTACTGTAAGTGGGTTGACCTGATAGCTGGTAACTTTTACAGCACACTTCAGAATTGCCTTTGGTTCTTTATTGGCTTTCATCTGGGGGTTTTATTTTTTTTGTTGGTTTTGATTGGGGGGTCTGGGGGGGGGGTTGGTTTGGGTTTGTTTTTTTTTTTAAATTTGGTCTGTGGAGCACTAGCAATCCTTCAGTTAACTTGCAGTAGTGCTTTCCTGGGGCAAGGGAACCCAAAGGTGCTTGTGTGCATGCAGTACTGAAACCAAGGAGCAGTAGGGTATAGATCTGTCTCAGCAAAGGATACTACACTTGCTAAAAGTTTGAGGCAAGCGATCTACCACCGTTACCCTACTGGTCTACTGACTTGTGCCTCTAACCTTTCCATAAAAAGCTATAAAGCTTCTCTGAACGTGTTTCAAAGTTCTTAGCCTGTGTTGTATAGAAGCACCTTGGAAATGAGGTTCTCTGACAGCTGGGGGAGGGAAGAGGAAAGAAAAACCTGCGTCTTTTTTTTTTTTTTTTTTTAAGTAAAGTAATCTCTTCTTTCCTTTTGGAGGATTAACAGCTGTGTAGGGGAGCAGAACCACCAAGCATTCATCCTTGCACTCTCCTTCTTCATGCTTACCTCTGTATATGGGATTACGTTGACCTTGCACACCATCTGTAGGGGACGAACTCCGTTTGTGGCATTGTTCTACTGCCCCGGGGCCTATTCCGACTACAGGTGAGACATCTGTCTGGGAGAGAGCTGGGGTGGGAATGGGCTTGGTCAGGCAGCTTAGCTCGTGTTCCTCATTCTGTGCTCTAGGCCAGTGCTGTTGGCTGTCAAACCTGACCAAAAAGTGCTCCCTAAAAAGCTGTGGAAAGCAGGGATGCATTACTGCTTTTGCTAAGGTGGGGAGTCTGAGACTCAGAGAGAGCTCACCATTTATTTGGAAAAAGTTGTTGGAGGAGCTGGGATCTGAAGTCCTTATTTATTGTGTCCTATATAGATACACCTTAAATATATTTGCCTCCAGATGCAGGTAATGGCCTGACAATCTGGAATCTGCGTGCTGTCTCTCCCTCTCATCCCTCACTGTTTATCTAGTGACTGGTCCTCTGAGTTATGTGCTCAGAACAGACAGCCTTAATATGCCTTGTCTGGCAGGAAGGGTGGCAAAAAGTGTTAGACGTGAGTTCGGAGACTGGCGCTACCATTGATGGGCAGAGTACACTAGCACAAGCGACTCCACCTTCTTCTGTACTCCATTTCGTGATCTATCTAGTGTGAGCATCATCGCGTCCTTAAATAAAGACCGAGTGCCTTTACAACAGTAAGAGTAAAGAGCTAGGTAGCGTGATAGCAATGTGCAAGAGTAGCTCTGGTAGCTCTAAAAGCTCTCATTAAGTAAGCCCTGAAGCTTTAATTTTGAGAAAGCCTTTAAGGATTATCTGATGAAAGCACCAAACTGAGATCACTGTGGCAGATGTAGACAGGGATTTGAAAGGGTAGTGATTACCAGGGAAAGTCACTCTAAAGCAGCTGCTCCAAAACTAAATGGCTTCCTTCCCATCTTTTTCCCTGCTGCCAGCTCTGCTCTGTCGTTCACCTGTGTGTGGTACTGTGCCATTGTAACAGCTGGCATGGGATACATCCTCCTTATCCAGCTGTTGAACATCAGCTACAACGTGACCGAGAGGGAAGCTCGGCTGGCTCTGCGGGACAACACTGGGCGCAGGCTCCTGGGTGGGTTAGTGATAGACACTGGCCAGTATAACAGGGGTTTCCTATGCAACTGGGGCCATTTCTTGAGCCTAGGGTCTTCTCCTCCACAGCGCTCTGCTGAAGACATCGTGTGACACCCTCTTTCTGCAGATGATGTTGACTGACTTTCTTTAGCAGGGGAATGGTCCCTTCCACTAGAACTCCCTTCTCCCACACCTTTCCTTCGTGGTCGGTGTTTGGGCTGCCTGTCCCGTGACTGACAACATCAGAGGCTTTCCCAGGCAGAATGGTTCTTCGTGTGCTGTCAGCCAGCAATAGGATGCAGAAAGCGGTAAGCCATATGCACAAACCCGGAAAGAAGGAGCCTGCTGCCTTTTTCCATTGTGGGAAACTTTGTGCAGCTCAGCTCAACAGGAAGAAGAGCACAAGGTTTTGAGAACTTGAGTTTTTGTTACGTGCGAACCCTGGCATCAAGAGGAACCTGCGGCTGGACTTCAGAGCGTGCACTCGTACCTGCAAAGGTTAAGGAATCCATGGCTTGTACCTACGTGCGACATTCCAGAGATGTCAGGAAGGTGGACTTTTGATACAGGTAACAGATGGACCACTGTAGAAGCCAGGCTGTTTGGCTAAAAGAGACTGTCTAGGCAGTCACTGAGCAGCTCCCTCCTCTCTGGTGCATTTATTTATTTTTTCTCTATCTTCTATTCCATCCAGCTGTATACATGCTTGTATTAAGTGCCTTTGTGAGCAACATTCCTGTAGGGCTTTGTAAAATCCCATCACGTCTTGACCCCTACGGTTGTTAGTACATCCCCATCTGTCTGGCTGGGTGAGAAGACGCTGTCATCTTCGATCTCGTCGTTCTTTCTGCAGGCTGGGTCTGTGTTGGTTTGAAGGCTTGGCTCATCTCCCTCGAAGTGTTTCTGCTCTGATTATGGATTGTGGCATGAGACAGGTAAATATACCAAGTAAGAAGGAGATGTTTTGAAGCAACATGTAACAGTGGACTCTGAGGGGAAAACAAGAGTGCTGTCTGGTGTTACTGTAGCTTTATGGAAACTACCTTTGTCTCTCCCTCTGTGGGAGAAGGGAGTCTGTGGGACAGTAGGCAATTCTGCTAACAGCTTTTTTGGTAGGTAGCATCTTGGTCGGTTGTGTTGCTAATAACATAGCAATCCTGTCTCCTCTCAATCCAGTCACTGTGGAGCTGCCTGACTGTAGATCTGTTTTCTCAAGCCAGGAAGTCAAGGAACAGTTCAGACTCTGCGTATGTAGGGAGAGGATGTGTTGGAGCTGTGTGGTTTTGGGGTAGATGACCTGCACTGGCAGGTGAATGAATGTGTTAAATGTGTTCTGCAAGAATGCTACTTGTTCCTCATCAGCCTGCAACTGTCATATTATCCAGACTTCAGCTGAAATCACAAGGTTTTGGTGGTGATGGTTTGTAGGTTTTGTGGGTTTTGTGGGTGGGATTTTTTTTCTTGTTTTTTTTGTTTTAAACCCTTTGTGTATGTTGTTAGCCCTGCAGAAATAGGAAAGGTCTGGCTGGGAAAGCCTGGGACCATGGCACAAGAGTTATGGGTTGGGCCTAAGACGCAGAAGCAGAGTAAAGAGCTTTGTCCTAGCTACTGATGTTTTTAGATGGTGTGTGCAGCATGGACATGACTTCACTTGTGTGGGCAGGCAGCTGGCAGATGTTGGCTGAGTGATGCAAATTCACTGTGCGCTGCTGTGCATTATCTCTGAAGAACGGATGGATGGTGCGTGGTGCCAAAAGGTAGCAGGGTTGGGGGTGTCCCTTGAGATCCCTGCCGTATTTGGTGTGTGTGCTCCTGATTACGTGACCCAGTTTAAGGTGAAGACCATGTCCCTCTTTGCACTGTTTGATTTCCTCAAGTGGAACTTTCTATAACCAGCAGATAATTGGGAGCAGGTGCACTTGGAACGTGGCTGTGCAGAAAGAGTTACTGACTTACTGGGTGTCCTTTATTTCCTCTTACCCTTTTTCATCCAGTGAGCAATCCTTTATAAGGAGGTAAAGGGAACAACACCTCTCTTGCTTCCTGTCTCTCACTGAACATGCTAAGAGGTTTCTGACCACTTCCCTTGCCCTAACGTGAAGAAAAAGGCACCCAGCTGGACTGTGCTAACTGTTCCTTTATGACCCAAGTGTTTGGAGCTTATAGCCTGACCCTAGGAGTTTAAATTCACACAAAGACCTTGCCTCCACATGAGTTGTCTGTAAATGTTTCCATGGCACATATGCATTTTGTGGTGCCTGCTGAGATGAATTGGAGCTTGGCAACCCTGGAGACAAGGATGCTGTGGGCTAGCGGGTTTGTGATCTTCTCAGATCTCATCCTGCTGGCGTTTGGGAAGATTAAGGCAGAATGACCTCCTGGGCTAAACGAACCCCTGCAGTGGAGGTAGCCAACCCCTCTATGAGTTTCATGTACAGAAATCAATCGTGCGCCTGTGAGCTGAACGAGCTCTGGGAGTGTTTACGGGTTTGAGATAAGCTGTTTCTCAGAGTCCTGCTACTCCCGGTGGGGAGAAAGCTGAGCAGATCGCAGATCGTTTCCCTGGCAGTGCCTGACCCTGTTGTGCTCGCTTTCTCCCACACGCAGAGACTGGTTACTACTTTGCAGCCTGTCTGTCAGTGTAGTCTTGACCCCTGTCTCTTAGTGAGCTCTGGCATGGGAGACTTCATTTGAACTGCTTACACCGAGACACTCTCAGTGGTGTTCTCCCAGGCAGTGTGGACTTTGGAGTGCAGATTAGGAGCAAAGGACCCTGGACTAATGTAACCATTCCATCTATACCTTGGTCATGCCTACTCCAATATAGTGGGGGTAAAGTGCTAACATAAAATTTATTTTGGCACTCACTCCAGAGGGAAATGGAACCATTCAGGAGACTGAAAGGGTTGCAAGGGTGTTTTTTCTTTTGAGGAGTGTGCAGTGCTGATTCCCCAGTGAATAGGCAGTTCGGGTGGCTGTAATCTCCATAGTAATGACCTTTTCTTTAAGGATGTGGCTTATGTTTACTGTCCTGGCTTCTTCCTGAGAGGATTTACCTTGTGAATGCCTTGGGAGATGGGAAGCATAAAGTAACAGGATATCTAAAAGGTATCTAAAAGGGCGGAAGAGTCGCGAGCTTCAGATGCATGCTTTGGAGCTCTCATTTTAATAGCCCTGAGAATTAGCAAGCAGTCCTTGAAGGGTAACGCTCCTTTTGCACTTATAGCAAGGGCAGACTGTTGTGATCTCTTGTGCACTAAAGGACAATTTCTCTTCTGAGTATTTTCTTGCTGAGCTTGTTATTGGCTATGCTGGTAGAAAAACTTTAAAACCTAGGCATAAAGAGTCAGTCCTCAGGCTCACTGTGTTAGTAGCTGCCTAGATCCGTGCTGTCTGGGTGTTGGAGCAGTGGGAGCACGCTGCATTTGACAGGTGACTTAAGTCATGTGTGTGTGGCCTTGAGGCAAGGACCAGTGTCTCACCTGCAGAAGACAGTAGTACCCTGCTGGCCCTGAAAAGTTTTCCCTGTGTAAGAAGAGAGGACCTCGAGCTGGCCAGAAGCAGGGAAGGATTTTGGTAATAGCTAGCCTTGATGGTTCTCTGCTCAGACTTGGAAATTAGTTTTTCCTGCTTTAACCATGACCTCTTAAGAGTCATTTGTTGTTTCACAAGTATTGTAGACTTCTGCAGACCAGGGCAACTCTTAAGGGGCCAGGGTTCTGATGTTGCTGCTGTTGTAGTGTTAAACCCTCCGTGTCCAAATGCCAGCACCCTACTGTTTGGTGACTATACTAAGAACTGTGCACCATTAGATACACCCTGTAAATGGTGGCTTGGCACTCTTTAACTGTATCTTCTTACATCATGCTTTTTTGTAGGCAAGTCACAGATCCCCACATCGACTGTTTCTCCATTTAACTTGTCCTCAAATGACAAAAGTCACTGGTGAGCCCAAGTTGGCACTGCTTGTGACTCCTAATCACATTTCAGCCTTCCCGCTATGATGGTGCTTTTTTTTTTTTCTTCGAAGTAGGTTGTTTTCAAGTGTCTTAATGAAACTATTTGCTGTAAAATTTCTTTTGAAGATAAAATGGATACTGCCTCACTGCCTAATGTCTTAATAATGTGCTTGGTTTTTTCCTTCTATATGAATGTATATTGCCTCATAAGGGCAGGAAGCGTGTGTGATTATGGATGTGTTTTCCTGTATTGCTTTCAGTGAAGAACTCTACAGTTTCCTAGGATTTTCTTCCACTATCAGGATGTTTGTACAGCAAAAATCTTTCTGCGGACAGGTGAGGTTCTTTCTGAAATGCGGGAATTCAGCCTCCCAAAATCTTGTATTTATGGAACTCCTCTAATGATAATGTGAAGAATGATGGGCTTTGGAAGAACTGTCTACCTTGGAGAGTGGGGTGGTTTTGTTTTGTTGTTTTTTTTTTCACCCTGAGCTTTCGGAAGAAACTTTGTGAAACACATTTGTGAGCTTTGTTGAAAGGACTGGGGGGGGTGGGTGTGTGTGTGTTTGTGTCCATTTTTATTGTATTCAGTGTTTCCAAATGGGTGCAATTATGAATCAAAATAAATAATTAGAAATGATCTGTGGAGTGGCCTGTTGATTTATGCCAACATGCTCAGCCAGGTCAAACGACCAGAAGCTGCCGTCATCTCATGGCTATTTAGCTGTGAGCTGGACTTGGGAATAAGGGAGCAACAGGCTAAGGAGAAGCTGGGAAACAAGTTTTCTTCCAGTTCTGCAAAAGTTGACCTTTGGTTTTGTTGGTGTTGGGATGAAACAGAGACTTGCTGGCAGTTCTCATCACCCTGGAAACCAGGGATATTCCCTTGCAGTGGGGATTTGAACCAGGATCTTGCATCCCATGAGCAATCCATTATTGGTATCTGATCAGGTTCCTAGCCTGTTTGTCCAGTGTCTTGCTTTCCCTCCTACACCTGCCCACACAATACATCCAGAACCCGCAAAAGGAACACTCTCTTACTTTAAACCTTCTAAGCCATGTTTGGAAATGACGTGGATATTCTCTGTGCAGATAGTGGGAAGAAATGTAGCCTTTGATTCTATTGGTATCTTGGGACATCTGCTGAAAGGCAAGATGACTTCTAATGAGTAGAATCACAGGTGCCTTTGATTGTTCCCAGAGCTCTGCTTTGATTTGCCTGGATGGCACTTCTGTCTGCTGTTCAGCTATTTCTCTTTGAAGATTACTTTGCGCTCGCTGACAACAAGGACCTTGCACTAGCAATGAACCAGGTTTGTAGTTAGGTGAGAGAGGTATGCGTAGAAGGGTGTCAGACTTCCGACAGCCTGGCAGCCACCAGCTTCATTAACCCCAGTGCTGATGATGGGGACACATGAGACTACTGTGTCTCCCCAGCTTTTATTTTTTTCCCCGATGTGGCTTGCCATGTTGCCCCTGCACAGCAGGAGCATGTCTGGAGTGGTAGCTCATGTGCTGGGGAAGGTCGAGGTGTGCTACTGTGGCTGGTGTCTGCAAAGATGTGAGCTGTGGATCAGACTGCAGTGGTTCATGGATCTTTCCCAGGCTAACTACTGTCCCCAGCTACAGTCTTGTTTGCCTGGGGGGAGCAGAGGAAATTGTTTAATACTTCAGGGTCTGTTTCAAATCCACTTTGAGCTGGGCCTGGGAGACTTTGAAGAGACTGGTGTATGGATTTACTGAGGAGAAGGTATTTCTGTGGGAAAGCATGTAAGAACTCGGGAGGGCAGGTGTTGGGGAGAAGGGCAGTTTGCAATTACTTCAGGGTTCTGCATTTGCTGTTGTACCAAAGTGAAAATCCTGCCCCCCTCCCTGCACAGGAGAAGGAAAGTCTGGCTGTGCAGCCACCTCCCTCTCCTGCTAAGAAAAGCAAGGAGCTGACAGGCAGGAGTGTGCCTAAGCTGTGAGAGTGTGGGCTGATGACCAGCATTAAGGCATTGACATCTGCATCTAACCAAGTGCTGGAGCAGGAGGGATGCTCTGGCACAGCTGCAGGCTGAAGCTGTTTCCTCGGTCTAACAAGCTCTCTTGTGTGTCACCCTCCTGCTGGGAAATGTTTGCTGGAGCTTTAATTCGCAAAACACTAACATCATGCCAGGGATTTTAGGGGTGTCCTGTGCAGTCTCTCAACAGCATCATTGGGCACAGCCTTGCTTCTGCCAAGGACGTACGAGTTGTTTCAGCCAGGTGTGGATTGAATGGGAAAGTCAAGGGGCTTCTCATCTCCCCTTTGATTCAGACCGTGTTCTCAGTATGAATGCGCCTGATCCCTGAACATCACCCCTATCCCTCAGCTGGATCCAGCTGAGGCTTCAGCTCCATGCTAGCATTGAATTAGCAGTAGGCAAGGGCAAAGGGGCATCAAAGCACAGCTCCTCCTGGATCTTGTTTTCGCTTCTTGCTGCTGGAACTGTGCAGCCAAAATGCATCTTACCAGGAGAATCTTTTTCAAAGAATAGAAGCTATTTCAAAGAATAGAAGCTGAGAGGATTGGAGACAAAGGCCAGTTTTGAAAGTGTTGCCTGTACTTTCAAGTTCTTTGTGGGGAGTTATGCTCCACATAAGCAGCATTATTTTCGTGGATGGTGAGTGGGCACTGGGGTGAGTGGGAGCTGTGGGCCTCGAGGACAAAATGTGCAAGTGTGGCATTGCTGGGGAAAGAATCTGCAGTTCAGTAAACTGGATGTGCACCCCTGAGTAGCCAGTGGTTTGGGGCACCCTTTTAGCTGTGAGAGATGTAGATGCAATGTCTGCTCAGCCTGTTGCTACGGTCAGACCAGGCTGCATGTGGGCTCATCCACTCTACTGCTCCATGCTCCTGCTACTCCCCTTACAGCTGCAGTGTGTCCTGTCTCTGGCTGGCTGTAATGCTACTGTCTCTTTAGCTGAGAAAGGATGTCCTCACCTTTCATCCTCTGGGTCACTGTCTTCCTTATGCCGTGAATCCAGATGGAGGGTGGGCTGGAGACTTTCCCTGCTGTGTTCGTTGCCAAGCCCCGGTAAGGAGGAAGTCAGCTTAGGAAAAGGCCAGCAGTAACATGGGAGCATAAGGGCTGGTTCAGAGGTGTTCAGGAGCTCGTTAGGCACTACATGGGAGAGGTTTCCAAGGGGAGAGCATACTATAAGAAAGTGGATTGCTGTGCTCCCACAGCTTGCTGCTATCAGCACCAAGTGTGGCTGCTCGCTGCACTGGGGCATGAGTTTGGTAGCTCAGCCCCCAGCTCTGCTCCTCCCTGTCTCTTTGGCTCAGTCCTCTGCAAAAGACTCTACCCTTCTGCAGTGCCTGTTCTCCCCGCAAGACAAGTTACTCAGCCCTCTCTCAGTTTGTCACTTCCTCTCACAATCTGCCTTTTAATGCAGCCAGATGGTCTGTACTCGCCCACACTCCACGCAGGCACCTTCAGCTCCCTGCGCTTGGATAATGCGCTCATCTGACCTGCTGGTGGTCAGGGCTGTAGTCAGCCTTTGGGAGATGGTGAATGTTCTCGTGTTGTAGAGGATGGCTGTGGGAGGTAACCTGGGAGTGACAGTTGTCTTCAGACCTGCGCCGAGGGTCTGCTCAACAGCGTGGCTCGTGTGGGCAGGCAGGCTCTCTGACCACATCCCTGTGAGCTCTCCGCTTGGACAAATTCCCAATGCTAAAGCTCTGGAGCCTGCTGCTGCGCTTGGGCACCTGACCTGTCCTATACCACTTCATCAGCAGTGCTTAGTGCTGGCCTAGGTCCCTGACCCTGGACTTCTGTCTAGTGCCACTCAGCCGGCTTCTGACGCAATTTGCACTGACAACTCAGTTGTGTTCATTTCAGGTTTGGGTTTATTGGAAACTTTCAGTGCATATCCAGGTTTTAAAAATTATCTGATACAATGGAAAAACAGTAAACTCTTCTTCCTGGCGTTACCCAAGTGCTCCCTGTACTGCCAAATGCTTTTGGAGAGAACTTTGCCTATCTTGTTGTGAGGGGGAAGTGATTCCAGGTTCCTGCCTTATGCTGTTGCTAAGACAAGACATATTGAACCTTATGGCATTACCCTATCTGCACTACGCTGCAGGTAAAGGTTGAACAGTGATAAGAAACTTTCATTTTAATCATGTCAGCTTTAACTTATGTAAAAATACACTCTGCTTTTTTCTTGGATTTTTAGGTTTTTTGAAGTGCTGGATCAAGTGAAAAGGCCCAGACAGACTTGCACAATACATCCTTAAATGCTACAGTTAAACAGCTTGGAAAATGTTTAAATGATGAGAAGATGGTGGCTCATAAACTTGGAATCACTGCTTGCCACCAAAATCAAAGCACTGTGCTTGTGAGCTGGCCAGTGCTGTGAACTAGGCAGTCCCTTGAAAAAGAATTCAGGTTTTAGATTGTCCATATGTGATGCTGTGATCTGGATCATTAGCAAATATGATTTGCATAAATAGCTCTTCCCTCTCCTCCTCCCATCCAAACTTCCCTGGCACAGTTAGCTAGAAACTGTTCTCTGGGTGGCCAAGTTCGCAGTAGTGGTTAGGGGTCAGCTGACAGTCAGGTCTGTTTGCTCCCCGATCAAGCTGTGTCACCCTACAGAGTACTGGCAACAGAAAAGCACCAGGTTACTGCTTAAGGAAAAATAGATGCAGTTCAGTTCTGTGCTTCCTATGATGGAGGAGGATTCACGTCAGTGCTGCAGCTCTGTGTGTGGAAATGGTCTTGGCCTGAAACACACCCTGTGCTAGGCTTTGGTTACCTAGCCTCTCTGCCACCAGCGAAGACATCCCTACGGAGACTTCACATGAGGACCTTGTGGGGAATAACCCCCTGAAGTACAAAGTGAAACCGTCAGCTAAGTTTCCATATATGCTTAGTTTACGACAGCAGTGACCCCAGGGAGCTTCCTTTGGTTGTAAGACCCTTTGCACTGGACAGGACTTTCCCTTGGATTTGTTTCAGTCAGTAGGAAGATAGCACTGAACAGAATCAGTCTTTTTGTGTCCTCTTCCAGTCATCTTTGACTCTCTTCTGTCATGTTTGGAAGTTGGGGAGAATTTCAGCTACTCTCCTGCGTAGCTGGTTTCTCCTTTCCTCTCTCTCTCTTTCCTTTTTCATCAGTAATGGGTACTGCTTCCATGCCTTGAATGCATTCAGCATGAGTCTCCTTAAAGAAATTGAGGACACAAAGAACAAAGTGACGACATGCAGATGTGTGCATAACATAAATCAAAAGATTACTTCCATTTGAGGGGGAACTCCCCTAAAATAGCTGTGGGATTTGTCCTTTCTGCTGCTAGTCAGGGCTGTGACATGGTAAACTTCTGCATGCAGACCACTCCATTAATATGTCAATCATGCCAGGGAAAAATAACACATTGCCCTTCTCTAGTCCTCTCCCCCAAGAATTTTGCTCCTCCCTCTGACAGGATTCATTAGCTGGTGTTTGCTTAGCACTCCAAAGATGAAAGATGTTTCCTGAAGAATAAACAGGGTCTCTGAAAGCAGTTTCTTCAGGAAAATTGCAGGTTGGCTTGGTCCAGACCAACCACTTGGGAGTGCAGGCAGCTGGGCTCCAATTCTGACCTGATCTTAATCACCCCACCAAAGGTGCCTTACCCTGGGTTCCCATATGGGCAACAGGGAGCACCAGTCCTGTGTAAAGAATAGTTGGCTGTGTCAAAGTCTGAGCTGCCTTTTGCCAGTCAGTGGGGGAACAGGTAATGAGGAATGACAGGTGATTATGCTCCTAATATGAGGTCATACATAGGATGAATCCAGTCTCTTCCTGGGTCCGAATTTTCCCTGGTGCCTCCAGTTTGCTGGCTTGTTGGGTTAAATCATGCACTGTTCTGATCTTACTGACGCAGCAAGCCAGAACAGGTTTGCTCTACCACATAAGAGGTTAATTTAATTTAATTCTTCCTCCAAGGTGCTGCAGATCCTGTTTGGGCTATGCACAGGTGCAGCCTATCATGAGTGCATGCAGCTGACATGCTTTCATGGTGAGGTAGGTGAACATGCTTGTGTTTTCTGCTGAACTTGGACAATAGTTTTTTCTTCCTGTTAAAATGCATAGTTAATGCAGTTATGGGACAATGAGTGAACTGGGTACACCTAGCTCCAGTCATGATCAGTAGAACTGTCTGCTGTAGTTTTCACTGCCAAGTCAGGCTGACGGTGGCATAAACCGAAAGATTGCTTAAGTAGGGTTTCTAGTTGATCAACTTTGGATTTGTGAACTAAATCATATGCTGTGAACAAAACCATACAGTGTAATTCCAGCATAATCATTTGGCTTGCTATAATTGTACTTAAAGATTTTCCTAAGGCAGCTTTTAGCAGAAGCTGCATGGCCAGATCTGCTAATCAGCTTAGAAAGTTTCAGCTACTTAGCTGCTTTCACTGTATTCTTTCAGCAGATTTAAAAGTCCTGTGAAGGGTACCACTAAATTTATTTTTCTAGGCTGCATGGAAAATTCTTACCATAAACCTCTGCTGATGTTGTCTGTGCATATCACAGAAGCAAAATACCAGCAATAAAGAACCTGTTTCACGTGTTCTTGGGGAACAGATAATTGACCTGTCAAAAGTAGTCTCTAAAATAATCTATAGGGTATATTAAACCCAAGTAAAAAGAACTGCTGGCAAGGGAGTGCACTTACTTGTTACTGTGTTCAGTAGCAATCTTCAGCTTCTCCCATAAAGTACTTTTTTCCTCCATGATCACATCAAACCATGCCCAGAAGTACTTCCTCATGAGGCAGGCTGCATGGAGGGTACTCGCTTTCTCCTCCAGAGTGGAGAGATAATCCTTGTACTAGGGAAGGAGGACAGAGAAAGAGGTGAGAATGGCTTCTTTCTCCCAACCCCCAGCCCAAGAAGCAGAAACAGAGCAGTGCTGAGACTGTGGCAGTGAAAGGTAACGGGGACAGGAGTGGAGGAAAATCAGCGGGAGCAGGATGAGACAGTGCAAAGGTGGAGGAGCAGTATGCAGGAGAGTGTCCTGGGTGGAAGAGAATGATGGAGAGTGGAGAGCTGAAAGAAGGTCTCTGAAGAAGGGAATGGTGTTGCTGGAATGGGGACAGTGTAACTCAGCAAAGATTGGGCTGCAGGTGTGTGAAGTGGCACTTGGCGAGGGGAAAGCGAAGCAGCAGCTAGCTTGCTTGGTATCATTTCTCCACTATGGTGCAGTGGTGCAGGCAAACCTTTAGCCAGTTCTTGAAGCCCCGTCTCAGTAACATATGGGAATAGAAGTCCTCAGCCTGAGACACCTTCTCCATGAGGCTTTCCTGGGTGTCCTGGAGCCAAGTCATCAGACATTTCCTCTGCAGGCCCAAGCAGTGGTGCCTTTGTGCCACCTGAGTGAAGACAGCAGAGACAGCAGCTTGTTAATTGGACTAGTGACTACATAAACATAAAGCTACAGAAAACTGGGTACACTAGAAAATCACCTCAGCTTTTTGGGGCCCCCAAAATGCAGATGTCTGACAGCTGGAATAACTTACAGGATAGTTTCCCACAAAGAGGGGTCAGCACAAGGAACAAGACCAGTCTCTCTATCAGGCCACTGCTGCCATCACTTCTAGAGAATACCCTTTTGAATTAGATGCTCGGTTTAACCTATTGTGACTGGAGCAGAGGCATGGCCTGTAACAGTTTAGTCCAACCCCATCCATAACACTGACCAGCAGGGTGGACTTATGGAGCAGATGCTATCCCTCTACTTCTTCCCAGCTGGAGGCCTATGTGCATTTGGTTGAGTACTGTAAGTAGCTGTAGTTCCAGTGTCTTAAAGGGAAGCTTACCAACTTAGCCCTCGGCTCTGGATAAATCTTCAGGATACGGTTGAGTGTTATTAGTCCACCCTGATAAGGCATGCCAATTCAGTCATGTACAGAAATATTTCACTAGCGATATTTATGTGCCAAGCTCTCAGAAGCTACCTCTTGCTATTCCACACTGAAGATACAGCCAGGCTAGAACAGATCGCTGGATTATCACCTGTGGTATCCTACCTGTAGCAGTAGCCAACACTGCACCAGCAACTCCAGAGAGAGGGAAAGCCCTAGTGATGGGCTGGGGTTAACTGCTATAACTACAGTGGCTTGGCAGTGTCTTACTGATTAGCTTTGCTGTGGAGCAAGAGAACTGACAGGCTCGTGTCACATAACTTCAATTTATTTTTTTGGCTGTATCGTACTAAATTAATTCCCACTGTGTTACTGGCATCAAATCATGTGGCAGTTAGTACTGCAGACAAGCGTAGACTAACAAAAGATGGTTTCTCATTAGACTGAAATTCATTCCTTTCTCTGTCCTTTTGGTTCCTGTTTAATCAGCTATAAATGAGGATGCCACCCTTGTGGGTTTTTGATGACCTTTCATGATTATTGTCAGATGGGCTGATTTAAAGAACTAATATAGGACAGGGCGTGCAGGGAGAATTTTTGCTTTTTCCATCTCTACCTGGCTTAAGAGCCTATTAAGGTTTCTGCTAAGTGCTGCATCCATTCTTTTTCCCTTCCTCCCATGGCATCAGTCCTTTCTTTTATCCTCAGCACCTACCACCAGGTTTTCCTTGGCTTGCTCCCTCAGCCTTTTCCATGGCACCATTCCCAGCTTTCTCAGCAGGACCTTCTCATAGTGATCTCTGGCCTTTTTCTGGAGCTGCTGCTCTTTCTCCAGCCTCCTCTGCTTCTCCAGCTCTTTCTACAATACAAAGAGAACTAGTTTTAATTCACTCCAGATGAAGAGAACATAGAGCAATGACAATAAATTGTCATATTGGAGCTGGAGGTCCTGACCTGACAGGAAATAGGGATCTGCATGATCTTTAGCAGTGCAGACCAGATAGGACCCCATGTACTAGAACCTGTGGTAGAAAGCAAACTGTCTTGAAAATTCTCATGGAAGATGGTGGTATTTCTGGACATTTCCTTGGGCCATGTATCAGCACATGGCCTTCTCTGAGCACAGCAGATTGGTGTTACTGTAGCAAACATATAATCTGTGGCTACCAGCAGTGCTGACCTAGCAGGAACCTCCTTTTGATGGACCTTCATCAATGTGGGGAGGAGTGCTTTGGTGAGCTTGAGGAGGGCAGCTTTCTATGTTTATAAAACTAGATTGAAAACATGTCCAGAAATGATTGAGTTTATGCATGAGACCTACCACTTCATCTAGCCTAAATAGTAGGGGAGGGATGTGGGTGTTATATAACTGTACAATATTACTTTTGTCTGAGACTCAGGGATGAAGGTCAAACATCCTAAAACACTCAATCCAAGTAGAACAGTAGTTGTAGGTCAAATTCCTGTAGGATTTCAAATGTGCTATTTGGGTTATTAGGACAGCTCATTTCCAAGTAACAATAATGAAGTGGGGCTATTCCTAGGCTAGCTCCAAGGAGAGGATGCTTCTGTTCTTCAGGTGGAAAGTTGCCCTTCATATATCTGTCAGGCTTGTTTACTTTTAAATTGTGAGTTTGTGACTGGTATCATTGTGTATGCTGGAGGGGGATACAAGTGGAAGGAGCAGTCTGAAAGTAGGCTGAATATGCTGCCACTGTGAGGGCTTATGTAGCTATACCTCAGCAGTGAACGTCCACCAACTGGGACCTCTAGTCCTGCTGATGAGACAGAGACAGTATATAATTCATAGTGCGTTCAGTCCACAGCCCTTCCCCTAACGTTGCCAAAAAGGGGGAAGGTGGTGAGGCTATATAGCGGGTGCTGTGCTCTGGATCTCTGCTCTACTAATGGAGACCTCCATTTCACATTACTCTGGCTGCTGACTGAGTGCTAGTGGGTAATGGCTCTTCTTCTTCTCCCTGCTAAAGGTGGGAAACAGGTGAGGTGTTTGGTCACCAGCTTCTGCTGCCGTCTCTCCTCCCGTCGTTTTTCCTGCTGAGCTTCCTTTTCCTCAGCCTCCTTCCTCTGTCGTTCTTCCTCTTCAGCCTTCAGCTGGGCCTTGAAATGGAGAAAGTGGAGGAAGGTAAAACGTAATTTGGTGCATGTGACCTCTTCAGAGAACACAGACCTCTAAGCTTTCCCTGTATTCCTCTAGTATTGACCAACACCTGAAACTTCAGAAGGAAGCAGACTTGTCACATACTAGACATGATCTGTGCCAGACAATGAACTGTGGAAGGGAGAGGAAGGAGGGACTGTTCTTTCTACTACCTATCTATCTATCTATCTATCTATCTTTCTTTGCCCTAAGTTATAGTATTTGCCCACTCTTCCCCTAAAAAATTTAAACCACACACCAAGTTATTTATTCATAACCTGATCACTGAAGTCAGTTCTGAATCCCTGGGGACTGCTCTGAAGTTTTACTTCTACATGCAAAGCAGCTTTACAGGTACCCAAACATTTCTTTCCCCAAACACTGAGGATCAAAGAAGTTGCTTTACTTCAGTACTGGTCATACTTGCCACAATATCCTTCTCTGAATGTTTATCTACTCCCATTGCAAACCCCACTCTGCTTTCATTTCACCAAGCTTTTGTTCTTGATGTATGCATCAAAGGCCTAAAACCTACACCAACCATAATGCATGATTACTATGACTGTGCTTCCTGAACTCTATGATCGTGGCAACTGCAGCTGAGGACACCTCACCTGATGCTTGTCTGTCTATTCTATGGTTAAAATGTTCTCTAAGGCTCATTTCAGCCTCCTGTGTACACAAGTGCATCTCTCTTGCTTGGAGAAGGAAGAAACCCTGGTTGTTTTAGGACCCCAGTTCTGAGCTTTCTAACCCTAATGCAACTTACTATCAGTGTTTTGGGCTTAATGCCCTGAAGCTAAGAAGGCTCCTCTGTTGGATGTGTACCACAGAACTTGTGTATTAACTACACAAACATTGTCAGTATCTTCTCTCTTCAGCAGAGATTTGCTAGAAAGATGCAGGATTTTTACTAGGTGAGACTGCACATCCTCAAGCTGCATGTGACCAGACAGAAAAGGCAGGGGAGGGGAACCCCAGCACTGTCAGGTCCAATCAAGTGGATCTCTGCACGCACTTCCACCCTTCCCATCCTTGGCAAGGACAAGTTACTGTCATGGGGTAGGTGTGAAAGAAGTGTTGGAGGGGTGGTAAGGGAGGCTGCTTCTGGAATTGCAACTGCATCAACATGAAGTGTCTGGCTGTGATATGGCAGAGCTAGTGCTGTCACCATATGCAAATGCAGCAATAACTACTTCTTTTTATGTGTGCTGGACATCTGCTTTCTCACAACTATGAAACTCCTGTTTTGGATAGAGGGCCTTTTCTTGGTCCCTGACTCTGGGGTTAAAACAGCATTTCTTGTAACTGGAATGGTGTGAAAGAGACTTTATTTCATTTTCCACTTGCCTTACCAATTTTTCCTCTTGTCTTCTTTGTTTGGCTTCTTCTAGTTTCCTTCTCCGTTCTGCACGCTGAGTTGCTCTCTCCTCCATAGCTACAGAAACAGAGGATGTAAGGCTTAGTGGAAATGCACTATAGGATAATGGCAAAAGTTTGGTGAACAAGGATGACCACTCTACTGCCAGGCCCCATTGACCTGGCAATGCCAGCACAAAGGGACTTGCTTTTTCTGCTGCCTCTTATGGCTGGCAGTATCATGAACAAAGAACTCATAAATATTTATGAGATTACTCAGGACCACCCCAGTTAGGTTCACTCCACCCTCCTTGGCTCACAGTCACAGCCATGAGGCTCAGTTATGAAAGGAGCTGTATTCAGAGGTTTTATCCCTGTCTTCTCTGATTGAGTGCTGAGGCTCAGGGCACCTGATTCAGCAGCAACTGCTATGAGGTCTCCAATAAGCTCCAACTGCTTATTTAAAAAGTGACTTCATGATAGAAAGCATCCCTGCCACAGTGACACACAGGTACTTGGTTCGACTAATGAGAAACTACTGCTTAATGCTTCTTTTGGGAGACAAATTGCAATGCGTGATCTTGTTGGCTATCAGCAAAGGTGTTACGGCACTGACGTGACCACACAGAACATGCAGTGGAGTCGAGAACCTGTGCTTGCTTCTTCTGGAGTCACAAATGAAGCACAGGTTTAAGCAATCGATAACTGGAGGGGTATTTAAGTGTTTTGAACACAATAGGTTTCCTTAGATTCTTTTCTCCTCTCAGCTGTCCCAGGATTCTCTGCCATGGGAAAATCATCCAGTGATAACTTATTCACTGAATTTTTGGGGGATCTTCAAACAAAAAGCACTTGAGTGCTCTGAAAATATGCTTACTCTCTCTAAGGTGTACAGAGTTCAGGAAAATCAGAGTGAGTGATAGCTTGGACTAGGTAGCATTAGAGCTGAACACTGTCAGTTAATGAAAGGCAACTATTAATGCCCAACTATCATGGCCAAAAAGCTCTGGTGATCCCCAAACTGGTAAACATCACAATGATCATATTCCAGACAACCTTTCATGCAGACTGTGATGACCGCCCAGTCGATATGGAAGAACATGACATGGGAATACAACAGAACCTGATCTTAATTTACTGCATGAAAAGGCTGTGCTGCATGTTCAACGTGTATGTGCTGTTCCATGCACTGTTCCAGTGTATGTGCAGTTCCCCAGAGAAGGGGAGATATCTCACAGAGGGCCGGGCTCCAGAGCTCCTTTCCCAGCCTAGCTACTGTTGTCTCACAAAACCGTGGGTAGGCACTTAATTCTCTTTGAAACCTCAATACTTCTGTCAAAGGTAGGTGAAAATGACTGGTCAGTTTAAGTGTTACTTGGATGTGCAATGAAGGGAATAAGACCAACAGCAGAAAACCCTGTAGAGCTTCTCTCTCTGAGTCTTGTCACACCAGAAACAATCACAAGTGTTAGGAGTAACTGCTACTACAGTGTACTAAGCGTGGACCTGAGGGGCTTGCAGTGGCCCAGGTTTTACAGATGCCTGACCTGGGCACGGAAACAGCTCACCCTTTCACAGCACTGGTCAGGCTGGGAAAGAGAGCTGAGTTTTACTTGCATACTGTCATCAACCAGCAAGGCTGAGGTGAAGAAAGAGAGAAGTTTCCAGACAAGCTGTTGAGAAAAGTGGTCTGGAATAGTTTTTGCTATCTAGAACAGTACCTTTCAGTATGGGATGAGCTGAGGTCAGCTGGCTGGAGGGCCTCCTGCCTTGCATCGCTGCCCTTTTGTTTTCTGGCCCATGAGAAACAGGTGGACTATGAAAGGAAAGAGTAAAGGAATTCATCAATGAATGTGGTCAGATGACATCTCACACCTACCACCTATGGTTGAGAAACAGGCCTTGTAGTTTCTATTCTACATTGTGCTGCATTTTCATTCTGAATCCCTGATACACCTTTCTTCCGCTTGAAATGGGATTAATGATGCATCCTTGCAAAGGAGCTGAGTACCCAGGGCTGCTGCATGTTCTGAAATACTGAGGATGATGCTCTCTTTTTTTCTAACTAAATAAATCCCTGCTGCTACTACATGTGACACTCTGGTGTTGCTGTTTCTAAGTGGATCCTGTATGGATCACATGGTGTTGAGCCATTGCAAAAAGGGAGAAGGACAGAGAATTGTAGCCAGCCTGATACCACCCTTGAGGCTAAATCACAGGTGAGAGGAAGAGCAGATAGCACTAGCATTACTGAAGTGTGCCTGGCAAATTCTGGCTCAACTTGAGTAGGAATTACACATACTGACTAATTGAGCCTGCTTTATGGAGGGCATATACCTCAAATGGGTTGTATTCTTGCATCTGGATTGTTTTTCCCTCTTCAGTTTTTCCTCCCTGGTTTGTGAAGCAGAGTTGTCACGAGGCTGGGTTACAGCCGTGGCTTGTGCTGACTCTTCTTTAGCTCTGCTCAGCCTCTGATTTTCCTGCAGTTCAAGGATCAGCTCTCGCTGTTTCTGAAGCTGCTGCCTCTGCTCCTCAATCAGACGTTGCTGGAAGGCATGACGGTGCTCAAAATGGCTACCATAAGCAGGAGCTGTCTTTGGACCAGGTGCCTGAAACTGCTGGGGGAGAGAGACTATTTGATTCCTGTACACAACCTCATCCTGGGCACTCAGGGCTGCATGTTTTACAGTAATCTCCCAGGCAAATTTGAGTTTTCTGTAGGAATGAGATGTGTGAGCAGCATCCCAACAGGAGTGGTCTCTGGTCTGGTCAGGTTCTTTCTGTATAAGGCAAGTTTTGGTTGGCTAGGGAAAAAAAAAAAAAAAGAAAGAAAAATTTGGCATTGATTAAAACCAAGCACTCTTCTGCCCTTTCTACATAGTAAGTGTTTCTTTAATGCAAATCTAGTGAGATGTCTGAGATATAGGGCAATCTCAGTTATGCAATCTTTATCCAGTTCCTAGCCAGGGCAGAGGGGCCCTGTTATGCACAAAATAGGAGGCTGTGGGAAAGAACTGTTCAGGAGCTGTGTGCCACTTCACTGGGAGGAAGAAATCCTGATCAGGCAAGAGCTCTGGCAGGAATATATCCTGACTATTTTGTTAGGGAGCACAGCTCAGGACAGCTCATTTCTCAGGGGTTAGCTCATCTCTCAGGGATAAGCACACTCCCTTTTGGACTGTGTTGTCCCCACTCGGCACTCAGATTGAGAGTAAAGGAAAAAACAGTTGTTGAAGTGATCTACACAGCTGATCTACTGGACAGTTCCTTTTCAGATGGAAGAGAAGTCTACAAGGTGCTGCTTCCTTGTGCTTCTCCAGCTTTGATAAATATTACCATGAAACTGGTGCACAGTGGGGAATGAGGCTGTGCCTTTTCTGACACACAGTCTTTCTCTGAAGAGGCATTAGATGTAAGGTCTGCTTTCTGATTCCTAGGTCAAACCCCAAATTCAGTCCCATCCTTCCAGCACAAATTTTACCAGTGCATCAGAAGAAAAATATGGGCCTACTAGGGTGATATAAGCAATGTGGGAAAATCAATTTTTGCTGACATTTAAGCAAATGAAAAGCTTGACCTGTAATATGTGTGTGTGAGCTCTCGTGCTAGGATCAGGATACTGCTGTGGTACAGGTTTTATAGACAGAAAGGAAGGGCAGGCTCTGACCTGACAAATGACAATTTAAGGAAGCAACCTCTGATTCTCCTCTCCTACCTCCTTGTGATGCGCATTATCCTGAAACAGCCAGTGACAACTTTTTCCCTCCATGCTTAAAAGCCAGAAAGCTGCACTGGCATGACAAAATCCCTTGTCATGCAGTCAAGTGTTATTCTTTTTAAGTCTGAGCAGGCATCAAAGATGTAACTAATCTCTCAGCAAAAGTGATCTGGGGGTGGGACACTCATTGCAACTCACAATACATGAAGGGTTGTTCTCTGGCACCATTAGAGATTATTTTTAAAACTCATCCATTGTCCTTTATGTTTGCCTCTTATTTTTAAAGACTTCTCTCCTGAACAGCTGCAGGCAGGTATTTGGGGGTCACCCTGTGAAAGGAGCCTTACTCTGGGACAATGTACTCTTTTATTTCAGATTGTACATATGAAGTGCTTTGTAGGAGTACTGAGATGCCAATAGATTACATGGGATCAAGAGACTAGAAGGGAAGGATTTACCTGGTCTTGCTGCAAATCTTGATGATGGTTTACAGCTGCTGTCCCAGGCTTGTTAACATCCAGTGGCCTGTCCAGACCACTCTTCCCCAGTGACACTGCCTCCAGCAGCTGTGCCATCTTTCTCTTCATCTCCTCCCTCTTGATCTGCAGCTCTCGCTTTTCTGTCTCTGCTTGGCTCCAGCGCTGCCATGCCAGAAAGCAGCAGCGCAAAAGCCGTCGCTGGTTATGCTCCACAGACAGTTGGTTTTTCCTGAATGAGAAAGCACTTGTGTTATGATAGGAGTAAGGCTTCTGCCCAGGCCTGCCTAAAACAATTGCATCAAGTACAGCAGTCCAGGCCATGGCACGAGGCCCCATAACTTCCTGAGTCTTTCTGTCACTTAACTCTGAAGGCCCTCCAAAGCTGTCCAGAGTTTCTCCAAGGAGGAGTGGGAGGGCAGAAAGGATGCCCATTATTTTGAAGTAAGTTTCCCTAGTTCACATTTTGCAATTTCCTGTGTCATCCTTGGGCTGTAGGATAGGTGCAAAAGAGGTACCCTGTTTCCTTGCCAGCTGCATAGGGGGAAGCAGCAAGTGCCTCACCACACAGCCTTCCAGACACCTGCAAGAGCAAAATTTTCTCTGGCTGATAGGGAACTCATCCAACAGCCTCCTCAATGAAAGACACTGGCCAAAATGATCTCTGCTATACTACTACTGAAATAGGAAATAACTATATTAATCAGGAATAAATATGGCACCTCATATTCTCTGGGGTCCAGAGCAAGCCAGGGTGAGATACCTAGAGAGAATGAGACGCAGGCTTGTTGGAAAGTCCTAAAGCTCTTGGTTATCTCTGTCTTCCTTTTCACCTGTGCCACAATGCCTCTGGCAGATTGCAGGCAATGTAGCAATTTTCTCAAAAAGCTACTGTTTTCCTCCTGCTGGCTAACTGGCAAGCCCCTTCTACAGTCCCTGATCACTGCACTGCCCAAGTACTGCTGCAGTAGGAGGAATTCCACAGTGTAGGGTCACTACCTGTTTTGATCTTGGAGATGAACTTCCAGTTGCTGTATCTCCTGCTCGACTTTCTGGTCCCAAGTATAGTTTCTCCAGGCTCGCAGGGCCTTCAGTTGGCATTTCCAGTCAGCAAAGGCTCTGGCTTTTCCCATTTTAATTCTGTGCTCCAGAATGACTTTCAGCCAGGCAGAGAAATGTCGTTGCATGCACTGCATGGGAGAGTTTCAGAAAACCAATGAGCAAGACACAGCCCGTCACACAAATGCTGGTCCTCTCCACCCTTCCCCTTATCTGACTTTCCTTTTTGAGATTCTTTTTCTAATCCCCACTTTCAACAATTACCTTGAGGGTAAAAAAAAAAAAAATGCAGAGCATGTGCAGGTCTTCTATAAAAAGCAGAAAGGGACTAGAAAGATAACATCACGGGGCTCTGCTTTTGAGTGAAACATGCTTAGTTCACCAAGTGTAAAGGAATAAAATGGGTGAGGAATGTAGAATTTCTGGAGGCAGGAAAGATGTTTCAAAATCTAGAAAACATCTAAGATGCTACAGGTAAGAATGCTTCTGTGGAGAACAGTTCACAAATACCTCCGTGGACCACTTGTTTGGTGTTTTTTGTAAATTAGACAAAAATCAAGACACTTCCTAGTGTGAATTTATGACACGATCTAAGCTCACCCTTGTTCCAGTAGGAAGCCAAACCTTTCCCCTATTGTGTAATTAGACTCACTGCCTCTGGGAGTGATTTACGTTGTACAGAACAGCAATTTGCTATCTAATCTACCCCATAATTCTAGTCCTGTCGCTGCAGACACTGTTCATTTTGATCTGCCGAGTGGGTCAACTCACAGGACTCAGCTGTTCCCCTTTTGTCACAATGCCTTGTTTTAATTGCATTCCTCTCACTCACTGAAATCTTCAAATGGAGACTTAGAAAAAGGACAAAATGTCAGTGCATTAGCTATTTCTTTCTGCTTTAGGAAAATAATCAAAGTGTCACTATTGCTTAGCTCAGCTAAGCCGTGGCTTCTCACATTATGCCAGCCCTAGATTGTTCTGTGGTTTCATGCAAGCTTATCTTCATAGCTTAGACTGTGCTGCAGAGAGGTTGTGTACTGCTAAACAGTAGCCAAGCTCAAATCCAGCAGACAGGCAGATGAAGTGAGCCACAGGGAGAGTCACCATAAAAACTATGGGATTTTTCTACTAAAAAGTTCTAGAGGTAGATAAGTAGACATTAATGATGATGACTGCTCTATTAATTAAAAACATTACATGATGGATGGCATTCACACCTGCACTCAGGGAAATTTATTCCCTTTGCTGAGGCTGCCCATATAAAATTATTCAATACAAAAAGATCACTCTTTAATTGCACGTATTTGATACAACTACATGTTTAACCCAGAGCTGGCCATGGTATCACAATAATGAAGGTAAAAGAAATAGGTTCCTGCTAGGAATTATTAAAGTCTTTACGTTTGCCTCAAAAGAGCTGTTGCAGTATCACAGAATATCCTACTGCACCCAGTGGGAGTCGATCCTTGAGGAACCTGTTACCGTGGATGTGCTGGCATACTTCAACTCTTGGAGACCCAGCTAAAAATTCATCCCAGGCCTCAGCACTTCTCTCCTCTTCCCTCTCCCTGCTCCTGCACCAGGGTCTGCAAGGTAATCTTTAAAATATCTTCCCATACACACAATAAGGGCTTCTCAAGCCCTTTTGTGCCACTTCTCCCCTTTTACTTCCTTCCTCAAGGGAAAACAAATCCTGCTCCGCTGCCACCTCTGTTCATCTGCCTGTTTCTCAATTGCAGAAGATTTTATGTTCGCAACTGTCCTGGGAGCCACATCTTTTCCACAACTCTAAGTGAAACCTCCCACTAAGTACACTTGGGGCACAGACATACTGGGGATGGAAGCTCAGGATTTCTTGCTCCTAGTCTTACAAGATACTTTTTGCCCTGCTTTTCTACTTTCCTGGTATCAGGAGCAGGGCTTGGAAGAAGTAAAAAATTCTGATAACTAGCGCTTTTTACTTCTGTTTTGCAAAAGTAGCTGAGGGCAGGTAGCTGAGAGTCTCAGATAAAGAAGTGTGATGCTCACTCTCTGCTTATTGGTGTGAATCCTGCGCAGCAGCTCCTGAGCCCTTCTCTGTTTCTCTTCTCCTTGCTGTTCTTCCTTCAGGACCAGGGGCGGTGATGCAGTAATAGATACCTCCTGCATTGACAGCTTCTGACTTTCTTCTTGTCTCTTCCCCTCCCTGGAAAGTGAACAAACCTACAGATCTAATACAATGAGGAAAGTACTATAGCACAGATTTCACTCTCTTTTTGGCCAATCCTAAGAGATTCACCTCTACAGCTTAGAAAGTTGCTGATTATTTACCTTGGCCTTCTTAGAAAACAGCCTCTGTCATGGTTTGGGGTCCCAGAGATTAAACAGTCTGGAGCATTTCCAAAATATAGCAGGCAGAAGAAAATAGTAAGATTTCAGTAAAGCACTTGCATGAGAAGATTTAGGATCTCAGGGCTGCCTAAGTAAATAAATGGCATCCCTACAAGTCACATCTCTGTGAGAATCCAAGCTCAGCAGAAGCAAAAATTATGTCTCTGCAGAATTCCCGGCCAAGAATGCACTTTATTATGAGCAGAGGAAGTATTTTAAGTGCTAGACTTTCAACACAGACTATTCTTTTTTTTGTGTGTGTACTGGCTTTCATGCTGTGTTAGATGCTAACAAGGCTGGATGTGGCCGCAGGGTTGATGGAGAGAATGCACGATAGTGCGAACACCCTCCTACTTTGTGATTCAGTCTACTTACTGGTAATGGCTGAGGGGAGGCTAACAGTATCTTTAGCCCAACTTCCCACTAATGATAAACTCTGCCATTGACATTGGTAACAAAGGAATAAAAGGTTTTGGGAGAGCCTGGAGACAGAGGAATAGCAGATGTTTCCTTTGGGACCACCTCTCCTCTTACATTTAGCAAAGGGAGCTGATAAGAGAAGTGTTCATACAGTTCTTTCCATGCCCCCCTCTCCCTCTTACATTCTCCATGCTTTTGCCATGGTATGCCTCTTCTCAGCCATTTCCTTTCGCAGCTTCACCATTTCCCTTTGGATTTCCTCCTCCTCCTTCTTGGCCTTCAGGGCCTTCCTTCTGTCCTCCTCCTGTGCTTGGAGCTTGGCCTCAGACAGAACTGATTTCTTCAGGGACTTTTCTTGTCTCTGAAGCTCTAATGCCTTCTGACGCCTCAATCGGTTTTCTTTCACCTGGGAAGGAGGAATCAGCAAAAATCAAAGCAGATGCCAAAGGCTGAAGAATTTGAGGTTCATTGTACACTGACAGGGTGAGTCACAATCCACGTTGCACATGAAGCAAGCAACCCTATCTGTGGCTGGCACTGACTGCACTCATTCTGCTCTCAGACCAGCAAAAAAACTCCATTCAAGAGAGTGAGATGTTACTTGATGGGAGCAAACTCAGACCTGACTGCCATGGTGGCTTTTCCTGTCAGTCTTTGGAAAGGGGGGGAAAACTTGAACAGATGTAGTGAAAGTTGACTGTGCAAGCTACTGTGAATGGCTAATGTGCATGCGGCAATGCAGTAACGTTTCAGATAAACTGTGGAAGAGTATCCTTGGGTATTTGCCTGCAAGTCAGAGATTATTGCAGGTTGTGAGAGAATACTGGGGAAGTATCACTGAGCATTCACTCTAATCCTATAATCCTCCATCTTATTCCTTTTAACTGTGCTGCCTTGCCTGCTCACCTGCTTGTGTCTGAGCTCCATGATTATTCGTGGATCTACAAGTTTTTGTTTTTCCTTGATGTCTTCAAGTCTAAGGTCTTCCGCTATCCCACAGTTCACGACTTCACTCTGCAAAAGATGCTGTAGGTATTCTTGGACAGAAGAACTTTCCAGTTCATGTTCTAGATAGCTGCACAAGTCTGAAATGAGGAATTTAGATTATCTCAGGCTAGTCTGAAATGAATAAGCCCCTCTGTCTCAGATCACAAAGCCTAACGTAATTAAAAGGATCACTTTCCCAGACTGTGAATGCATTTCTGATGAAAGTGGACACACTGACTGCACTCTATTTATCCCCAAAGAGTCTTAATCAGTCTCACATTGAACACACTAGAGCAGTAACAACATTTCGTCCATTTTTTACTGCCTTGCCTCTGAGCATCTCGAACAGCTGTATAAATTTGACAGGCATCACAAATACCCATACACAAAAGAAATAAAATTTCTCTTTTATACAAGGAGACATTGAATGTTTATGAGGTGCATTTGTGCAGCCCTACAGCAAGCTGCTGTAAGAGCTGGGGGAGAAAAATCATCACCTCTAATCTTGTTTCTACTGAGCCCACTACCCTGGCCTCAAAGCAACTTCTACCTCTCAGTCTGACAAACCATGAGGCCTGGCTCCCTTCCCCAGCACATCTTCAGAAAGGAAGCCAGGAGCTGCTTTGTTGTGCTCTCACCATCAAACCGCTCATACTTCAGAGGGACTGCAGAAGGCTTTTCCACGAGGACAGTGTCAACCTCATCTTCGCCATCGCTCATCAGCTCCCGCTGCAGTTTGGACTTCATCCAGTTACTGAGCAGCTCTTGGGCTATCATGAGGAAAGAGACTGATGACTTCACTTGCTTAAAAAATATATGGGTAAGTGTAAACTAGCAAGACTGTCTCTGGGATAGTTATATCACATGCTGGGAAGGCTGTCTAAAATGACTGTAAGCTGATCTGCAACAGAAAATGGAATAAGGATAATAGTTCTGTTCTCATCTTCTTGATCTATAAAAGAACAGGAAGAGAAGGTGGCAAACTTTTTCCCTGTCACATAGGTCACAAATAAGTTCTTCTCCACCTCATTTTTCCTACAAGATTCTGTGGACATTTAGATCACTTGTGTGATTATTATAGCATTTATCAAGGAGATGGAATTCACATGAGGTAATTCATAACTCCAATAGCTTTCATATGTTTCACCATTGCACTTGCAGACCCTTAGGTATTTTCCACGTGTACAGCCAAGGATGTCATATGTTAAATACAAAAAGAACTACTGTTTGGACAAAAGTTTGCTTCATGTGTACAGGTTAACCTTTGCAAGAACCACAGCTCCAGGAACAACTGGTGAGTCTAGATTACAAATCTGTCAGGTGGCAAGCTTCACCAGGGACTACCTGTACTCAGAATTAAGACTGGAACGACAGGAATGCACCCGTGATGGATTTGGTACTCCTCAGTGAGCTCAAATGCCTAGTGAACAACTGGATATAAAGTCCTTCTGTGAACTTTCATTTGCATCTCCACTCTTCTGTGGAAAAATTCCTTTGTTTCAGAGTTCCTACTAAAAAACAAGGACAGCTAACATGGCTGCTGCCTCAACAAACCACCTGGCCTTACTGCATGGATGGCCAAGCTGTTCCTGAAGCAGAATGCAGGGCTGTAAACTGCAAGGCATCAGGAGCAGCCCGACGAGAAGCTGAGCCATCCGTGCAGTGAGGATGGGCAAAGAGCAGGGATCTCAGCAGCCACTGTAGTGCAAGTCATCCCCTGTAAAGGCACACAGCCGATAGACAGGAGGAAGCAGCTGCTCCAAATCTCTTGTTCTAACACAAACTGTCGATGCTCCCATTGAGTCCTGGTATTTCTAAGGCAATAAAGCCTTTTAAAAACTTCCTTAAAAAGGGGTGGTTTTTTTGAAGAAAACACAAATCTAATGTTTATTGTCCTTCAAATTACTTTTGTTCTCTTTCATAATCTCTCAGGCCAGCTCAGGAACAAGGAAATATATCCGATAGCAGAAAGAAGAGAGAAAAAGAGCTTATCACTTGGGGAAGAGTTACTTTTTTGAGTGGGAAACCTGAGCTCCTCGTAACTGGAATAAAAGAGTTCTGGCACTTCCATTATCGATACCTTTCTTTGCAAAGTGGACTATGTGTAGTTAATACCATTAAGTATTCTAATAATGGATTCCAGATAAAAGGCTTTTAGTTGAGCTAGGAACAATCCTGAGAGATTGGTAGCTATAAAAAGGAAAACCCTAGCAGGGAAGGGCAAACAAAAATAATAAAGAACCATGAGGAAAGCAAGCAACTTTTCCACCAATTGCAAAGACAGCTTCTTCTGAGCCAGTGTGCTGTATAATGCATTCAGACAGCGCACTGTAAGCAGATAGGTGTATTCTGTGCTATCAGTTGAACCCTTGATGATTACAAGTGAAAAAGCTGACTTCCTGTATTGAAGTGGATGGTCTTGAAGCATGTCTTCATTCTATTCTGTAAGGCTCACTTCTGAGTCTTAAAAGAACGGTTAACTCAGTTTTTAAAATCCTGTCTCTTATCAGCTTTTTACACTGCAGATGTACTTCTAGCACTGATGGGAGATAATTTCCCTCTCTTTTTTTAAATCTACCGCAGTTTTATTTTCAAATTTCAGCAAGCACTTGTGGCTGCAGGCATTACAAAGGGAATATTTAGTTAGCTAATTAGTGAGGAAAATTTTGCATGGGAGTCAAAGCAAAACCACACAATTATTCATAGATGTGAAAGTTACATAGAGCAACTCCATTTTCACATCTGGCCCGCTATCAAAAATACGTCAGGTAATTTCATCCAGTTTCCTGTAGCCCACTAACTTGTATTTGACCATACAGTGTGTCTTCAAGGGCAGTATTCATGTTCGTATTGACCTAAAATCTCCAGGAGACAGAGTTTATCCTTCTCTTAGGTATGCTAATTAGGATCTATCTTGAACTCCAGCAGTTGATTATTTTTATGCCTTTCTCCATTAGATGAAAGACATCTTACGATGAACTGTTTCTTACGGTCTCAAGCTTCGCAAGAGCCTGTTCAGACCAGAACCACAATGCTGGATCAAGAAGAGTTCATTTTAGGCAGCTTGTGGCAAGCAGTATTTCAGCTCACCTTCCTCACGGGCCTCATCATGATCTTGCAGCTGTTCCACAGTTTCCAAACTTGTCACAGGACCACAAGGCCCCAGTGGATACCTTGACTTTTGAAGGGAAAAAGCTTCAGAGACAGCATACTCAGAGGCTTGGTCCGCTTTCTTTAAATTGAAGAAAGGAAAACATTTTTAAGGATTGCTGGATATTAATTTTCAAACTTCCTCTATCCAGGTTCTCCTCCAGAGAGAGCAAACATCAGTGGGAATGTAACACAAGACAGCATGGCTGTTTTAAGAAATAGATTTATTTTGAAACATGTTTCTCCGACTGTTCGATTGACTAGAGAAATTGGACTTAGCAATCATTAAGTAATAAGCATTCATTTGGCAATTAATGCCAATCATAGTGACTGGAGAACATGTAGGGAGAATGCAAACACCCAGCCGGAGACTTGCTGGGCTAGTCCCCAGCAACCACCAACTATGAAATCTGTTATCAGCATTTTGTCATAACCAGGCTGTCCGCTGTGTAAATAGTCTGAGTGACTTTCCATCCCGTATTCATCTCTCTGAGGTGTAAATGGTCCTGTCGTGTCACTGTGTTTTCACGTAACACCCGTACCCCCGACAGCCCGCATTTCTGCAGGACTTCTTCCCTTTGTGCTGGGGCAACCAGAACAAGCTGCTGCCAGAGGCCTAGGAGGCTGCATGAGGAGGCAGGTCCACCCTCCTACCTGCCATAAGAAGCAGGCCAAGGGTGGGAGCACGGGGGTGCCCAAGGAAGCAAAACAAAGGGAAGTTCACCCCAGAATTCATTTTCCTTGATCTCAGGTGTTTGTAGAGGCAGATGGTGCTTTGGTGTAAATCTCTTGTAATACTTGCCCATACATACAACCCGCAGTACTGCTCAACAGCAAGTTTTGTGCGTGACCCGTGAGTTTTACGCACAGCAACAAGGTACCTTACTCTTGAGTTACTGGGCAAGTTACTTCACCTTGATCCAGCGTTCCAAGTTATCAGAGTCAAACCTTGGCTGGAAATAAGATATTTAAAAAAAAAAAAAAAAAAAAAACGAAAACGTTGCGACCACCTGTCTCTTTTTGTGCCGGAGTTTAACGCTGCCGACCTCAGCGCCATTCACTCGAGCGTGCAGCGCGGACTTCCCAACGGCTGGCGAGTCAAACGGCCGCCTCTGCCGCCGCCCTCGCACAGCCCTGGGAAACCTCTTTCCCGACCCCACTCATAAAAACGGCCGGGATCCCGCGGGGCCGTCCCGACCGTGACACAACCCGCACACCACCCCCGGCCCTCCCCGCCGCCATTTGAGCCTGTGGCGAGGGGCGTGGCGGCGGCGCGCGGCCCCTCACCCGCGAGGCCGCGCCCTGATTGGACAGCGCGCTGCAGGGCGCCCCCTAGCGCTCTCCGTTCCGTCCCGTCCCGCCCCGCCGCCCGTCAGGCCCCGTTACCTTCGGCCTGGCCCCGGCCGTGAGGCGCCGCCAGCGGTAGAGCTGCGGCCGGTGCCCCGGGCAGGCCGTGGCCACGCCGGGCGTCCCCGCCAGCCGCCCGTCCCTCTTACGGGCGTACCGCGCCGGGAGCTGCTTCGCCATGGCAACGCCGCTCTCCCTGGGCGGGAGGCGGAAGGGCGGTGTCTGTGCGCCGCCGGCGCGCGGCTGATGACGCCGCGTGAGGCGATCGGGGCGGGCAGGGGAAAGCGGTGAGGCCCGCGCCGGTTGAACGGGGCCGACGATGAAGGTGAAGCTGTGCGGGGCGGGCGGCGGGCGGCTGGGGACGCTGGC